CTTCTACCGAAATCGGTAGAAGCCAATCACAGGGAAAATTAATTTCCATAGACTGTGTACAAACGTGGAACAAACCAGCGCGTACGCTTGGCAGATTGACCAAGTCTGGGTTGCTGCATCACTTGAAAATAACATGAACATGTACGTTTTTAACATGATGGTCCGGATTTGATGCATGAGGGCGCGCGTTATGTACTGTAAGGACGTAGGCGATATGCGCTGTGAGTGGATTGACTATAGGCACCGACCGAGCGCAACCCAGACTTGGCCAAGTCTACATTAAGCCCTGCATACTGCACACGTGGGCACCGTGCATAAATACCAAATTTCATTGTAACAAAACCCAATGAAAATTAGCATTCTATCTCCTTTGTTCAATTCCTCAAGCCATTTAAAAATATTAGGTTTTTAAATTTATTTGACCATTTTATACTTTTTTGTAATATATGCGTATCTTTTTCGGAAAATCAGTTTATAAAACAGTTTTGTAAAGTCATAGGTTGTGTCAATTATCTGGTGGTTTCAGTATACTCACATAGGCAATTGAAGATTCTCCATACTTTTTTTTTTTAGTTAATAAGTTATTAAGGTTTTTATGTTTGTGGATACATCTGTAATTCAGTGTCATGCTGCAAAATGTGGAATTTTAATTAATAAACCACATTTGAACTGAGTAAAATGACTCTTTGTGGTGAATCACGCCTATTCCTTGGTTAGCACAGCAAAGCACTTTACAAAAAGGGTCAACCTTTGGGCCTAAAAACTTACTCCTGGTTGCTTGAGCAGTGTTCCCAAGAGTCAAATCCTTTGTGTTGAGGAACTTATCTTGGCTTCTTCATGTGCAGCATGATTGATGTCCTCAACTAGAGATATTTCATGCACGTCTAGTACACATAGGCCCTGAATGCAAAATTTAAAAAGTGAGAATTTTCAAAACCTGATAAACAGTACTGTCAAATCTTCAAATACACGCAATGTATATAAAAATTAAGAACTTGTTTCCCCTTTACCTTGGTTGCAGTTTTTGGTTTTGGTTTACCTTGATTGCATTTTCATGTTTCGTGTTCAAAAGGTTGTGCATGGTTTTAGACATTTTTCTCAAAAAACTGTAATATGCACTTAGCTGGAACTTCAACAGGTTAGGTTTTGATCAAGTTCTTTGGATTTTGATTGGTGTTATTATTGGAAACGGACAAAATGCATGAAAAGCAAATGATCCTGTATCACTTTAACACATACAAGCTGGTGCATACCTTTTCCTGTCTGAGCCTATTAACAGCATCTCCACCTTTCTTGGTCTCCTCACTGACCACAATGCACCTCGTGATCCGTGATGGGCACGATGGAGTCTGACTGTAAGATGCGTGGTTTGATATCGTGGATGAAGTCACGGACAGACGTGATGCGCGCATCCATTGGCTGGATCAACTCTGGTAGTGTTTTCCCTGCAATCAGATGAGAGGGATATATTCAAGTGTTGTATTAATATGAAATACTGAACACCATACATTAATGACCTACTCTCAGTCAATGAAGAGAAAGAATGTAATAAAGATTGTTTTATACTTGCTTTGATGTGTTCTTACCACTGACCTCTATATAAAGACTGGATAGCTAATAAAGAGCCGCACAATGAATGAATTTGACGCCATATTGGTGAGACCGGCTGGTGATCTACAAAGGACAAGTTGCCGTTTTTATAGACAACATGATTTCTTTTGTAACGTCGCAGTTCACTTGACTTGTATTTTGAACACCACCACTGACCAAGTTTAACTACAATTTTTCTAACGTTGTGGTTACTAAAATGCCGCAAATATCACTTTTTCGGCGTTTTGAAATAATAATCACTACGGAAATGTGTCCCTTTTAGAACATCATAATATGTGTACGTGACCAAAATGCGCGTCAACTGTTGATACAACACGCGCGTATTTACGCGTAGAACGTTCGTATTATACACGGCCATCTTCGTGAGACCGGGGGCGAATTGGTCAATATGCAAAGTCTACTGTGTGAATGTTGTATGCATATTCGCTATCCAGTCTTTACTAGATCAGTGGTTCTTACGTTGCAGCATGGATATGTCTGTCACACCAACTGTAATCTTCTCTTCTGCTCTCATCGCCGACTCACTCAGCAGGATATATGTCCAGCGTGGATGCGATCAAACGTTCCCAGTAGAACCACGCTTCCGTAGCTCTTAACTGGCGAGATTCTACTTCAATCCCATCAGTGATCAGCATCGACTGGTGGAGAACTGTCCACATTTGTCCAGACAGACTCTGGTATTATTTCCACAACATGATTTGTTGGCACTACAAACCACGACTTGAGTAACGCTTGGAGATTGTTTGGAGTGGAGCAGTCAGTTTTACCAGACCGACTTCTCCTTTGAGAATTCTAGTGGTAGGCAAGGTGCCAGACCGGTTACTAATATTGGTTACGAGTACTCTGACATCTTGCCCTTGTAGCTGTGCTGACTAATTGCATAGATTGCAGTGATGGTTGCGCAGACATCTTGCGTAACAGGAATCAGTCTTTGTTTGTACGGTTCCAGTTCGAGGTCAAGGCCGGGATGCAGCTGTACGTAGAGTGTTTCCAATATGCAGCTGGCGGCATGGCACAGTAATCAGGTCTAATTCGTTTGATGAGTTGGTTTATCGGCGAGGTTAAGATGAGAAGCCCTGTTTTGCAGCTGGGGAGCATTTTGGTTCACTGGAAAGCACAGCTCAAGCCTGTACTGAATAAAAATGGAAAGAAAAAAATCTATAAAAAATAATAATAAAATATTGTTAACCATGGAGGAATATAGCTCTTTTCGAATCAATTGCTCAAAAGTTGTACAGAATTTCCCTTCTGGCGTACCATTTTACAAAGGTTGAATTGTAGGTACCATCGTTCACCGACGGGGCATAAAAATACAGACCTATCAGGGGTGGATTCAGGAATTTTTGCAGGGGGGGGGGGGTCAGGCCCGTCAGCTTTTTTTTTAATCAGCAAATCAGTGCTGAAATGTTGTCAGGTGTTTTTTTTTTTTTCAGGACACTCCTGGGGCCTGGTACCATTCTTGCAATGGGGGCGCTGTTCAAATCCGACATTATGGTCAAATCTGATGGGGGTCTGCTCATAAGTCCGACGCCTCATAGGTCCGACGCCTCATAAGTCCGACAAAATCACATCCCCTAACCAAATAAAGGCCCATAATTTTGACGCCTCAAAGGTCCGACGCCTCATAAGTCCGACAACGGAAAAACGAGGCTTTTAATTTGTCGGACTTATGAGGCGTCGGACCTATGAGGCGAATAAATAAATTTTATGCCTCATAAGTCCGACGCCTCATAAGTTTGAAATTTCAGACTTATGAGGCGTCGGACCTATGGGGCGTCGGACTTATGATACGGCCCCATCCGACGATCAGGCACACTATATTGCACGGTGTACAATTACCCCCTTACCCCCGCTGGCTTGCCCAGTGTGTAGAGTGTTGCGGACAGGCAGGCGTATGGGTAAATATTAGTAGTATAATTGTCAATTTTTGTTAATTTTTTGTGAGCCCCCAAATGGATCTGTGCCAGCCTGTAACGGTACCTTATAAAGTTGTAATAAAAATGAAGTACTATTGTATCACAGTTCCAAATCTGTACATCAACACCACACTGAACAATCCCACACAGTATTGTTCATTGGGGACCACACACCTGTTGAGCGATAGTTATTATGGGGACAGCAGGAAGTCCCCACAAACTTGGTCCTCATGTCCCTAACAATAGGAAGGACATTCCTCATAACTTAATGCTGCTGAGTAAAAGTGTACTTCAGGGCCCCAGTTCAACGTAAGCTGTACTAGGTGAGTCAAAAAGATGGGTATCTTGTAAAAAGGAACTTTTTTTCGTCAACTTAAAGACAAGAACATGTATAAAGCAATTTAAAGAATCAATCATTTACCTCATCAATTTGCTTTCGTGCTTCGGGGGATACAGAGTAATTAAAAAAAAAAATCAATTTTGTCCACGGGTCATTGAATCAGGCTAAAACACACCCGTGCGTGTCATATACCTTACACATGAGGGCACAGTTATTTATTGAGTCAATCCTTGCGGTATGTTTCTGATTATTGCAGAGCTGATAGTATTACAAACATTTTGACATGAATATAGTTTTCTGAAACTATTTCCATCTCATTTTGTTATTCCTTTCACATTCAGAAATGAGAATGATTAAGGATTCCATTTAGTATGGATTCTGTTCAGCGGCGCAACTGCAGGGTCTCATCCTGGGGGGAGGGGGGGGGCGTGGGGGGGGGGTTGGGGTTGAGGTTACAATGGAGGGGCGCCCACAAATTTCATCCGTGCTGAAAGGTACACAGGCTTTTTTCACCAGACACCCGCCTTTCGTAAAATCAAATAGTGGGGGGTGGGGACGGGGGGTGGGGTGGACACCATCTTCCCATGGGGGCGCTGTTCAAAACGAATACCATGGCTACATTACATGCGGGACGTTACAATAAACAGCTCCCTGAGGGAGTTTTGGTGAAAAACAAGCATGAAATCGCGGGGAAAAAGTGACTTTATGTAATATCCAGCTAATCATGGTAACTCAAATGACTGTGATTTGCTACAGATGCAACATTTTTATGGGGGAGGGCAGGTGGGCCCTCTTCCTGTGTTTGATTGAATATCAGTCAAAGAAGACATGGATTATGGTCGGTTTCAACCATTCAATTCTGAGGAAATGGAAAGTAAACACACCATACACTCTTCCTCACATACTCATCTCTTAAGGCAAGATGCAAAGAACAAACTGTGACTGAGCCAAAAATAATTATAACACCAGAAACAATTGTGAGATACTAACATCATGTATTTTAATATGAAACCTGAATGCAATCCATATATCTACTCCATCAAGATTTCACACACGTTATAATTATGTCCCAGAAAATTTAACCGTCTAAAAAGCAATTAGATCAGCGTGTTTTTGTATTGTATTGTTGGGCATCTGAAAGGAGAATACCGTACCCACACGAATTTGTGTTAGTCTTTGAGGTAAAGATGGTACGTTACATATGGAACTTTTCTTTGACTTGCCAAAAAAATGAGAATTTTTGTATGATGTTTAAAAGAATAATGGGTCAATTAATGTTTGATTACAGATATAAATGATCAAAAATATATATATAAAAACTTTGTGAAATCGACAGAGAATTGACATATCACACCCTATTACATGTAACATCCAAATATGTCATTATAATCTTTGGCTTGAAATATTTATGAAAACAATTCTAATGCCCCTTGTGAGTTGTCTTTTGTGGTTTACTTGGAAAAAAAAATCCTTTGTCTTGGTATTTCATTTAGTAGTTTTAAATTTTCAAGGAATACAATCCCAAAAACAATTGCTTAGGTACCCCCCCCCTTTCAATGCTGGGTCAAATCAGTTATTCCATCTTTTGCAGTTTTTAAAACTGATCTTCCCACCAACCTCTGCACCAAAGTTTATACAAAATATAAATCAAATATAACATAAACATTCTTTTCAAAACAAATATTTACCAAAAAAGTCATTAATTGGTGGATGGAATAATCCCAAAACTACTCCTGGTAATACTTAATTGTTTAAACCGTATTACTTAAGTCACGCATGCAACTGGGAATTTAAAAGAAGAAAAAAAACGAGAACATTCCAAACCACACAAGACTTTGCGCAGTGTTTTTCAATTTGTAATGGCATTTATGAGAAGTAAAAAAACGAGGAAATCAGGGGATCTGAGGAAAAGTCGCATGCCTGTTAAGTAAAATAAAGCCACTTGGCGAACGAGTCTCCAAAAATATAATTTTATTTACAAAATGTACATGTATTTACCATCTAAGGTTGAATCAATCACAAAACTTCTCATTGTTTTAAGGTGATACTTATACAACTGTTGTCAGGCCAACAAGTCTCAACTTGGAAATGGACCAAACCACCCATACAGCCTCAGAAATCAACAAATACCATATATCCACTGGGTTTTCAAATTAGTGATGTTTTCGTGCACACACGTAAAGATCTGAAGTCTACAGTAATTCTGTTTGCCACTTTATAAAGAATTTCCAGATTTGGAATCTACACTTATTCACAAACGTGAGATTGTGGTCAACCAGGGATCTTATTTGCATAAACTAATGTTTTAAGAAATTAAAGTTGGAGAACAGACTTGGAACTGTAGATTTGTGCCAGATTCACCCCGTCCATTGTTAGCATGAATCTACAGTTCCTTGTCCATTCTCATGGACCCAATCAGCAAATCATACACACTCTAAAAAGTCTCGGGTCAGATTCGACCCAAATCTGGGTCAGATTTGACCCGATGACACGTCAAAATAACGCTTCTCTTGAGTCACCTTTCTTGCCATTTGACCAAGAAAATTGTCTTTTTAACCCAGAAAAGTGTCAGGTCCAGTCTATCCTGGATGCAGGGTTATATCTAACCAGACTTTAAGAGTGTCAGTTTGACTTTGATGACAAACTACGGTGTCATGTGTAGAGGGTGAACAGCTATTTATCTTACACGCAGTGCAACACTATTGACCATCTGAATCGAGAATGGGTTATGATGTTTATGTTTAAATTGCAAGCAGACATCCTGGAATAACTCATTTTTAATTATCTGTTTTTGGAATTTGCACAGGTCCCTGATTTTATTGCATTAATTTTTCAATGGTGAACAGCTAATTGTCTAAACTGAGCATGTATTACCGTGTTTTGCCTGTGAGAATGGTCCTGCTTAGGATTAAAACAAAAGACACTCTAAGTTTGTTGATTTTCTTGTAAATTTCATTTCCTTTTATAGGGAAGTTATCATTTTGATATGTTATGTCAAGTACATGTAATTCTAGAGTGGGCTTGGTGAGAGAGAATTAATATATAACCCTGAGTGATGGGAAGAAGGACCGTAACTTATGCCGTCTACCCAATGCCTTGTTGCCATATAGGCTCAACTTAGTCAAGCTTGGCATGTTACCTACAGCCGAGGCAATGTGTGGAATGTCTGACCGTGTCAAATCACAATTGCCCAGGTCCAGCCTATGTAAGTGCATCATTTTTGGCAATTCCTTGGCCCACAATGCAGCACATCCACCCAATGGGTCGTTGAAATCAAGTTCCAACTCAGTCAGTCTGGGCATGTTACCTACAGCTGAGGCAATGTGTGGAATGTCTGACTGTGTCAAATCGCAATGGACCAGGTTCAGCTTATTTAAGTGCTTCATTTTGGGTAATTCCTTGGCCCACAGGTCAGCGGATCCGCCCAATGTCCAGATGCCAACAAGGATCAAGTCAGTCAGTTTAGCCACGTCATGTACAGCTGAGGCAATGTGTTCAATGTCTGTTCTCTTAAGTTGGCACCACCTTACTTCAAGTTTCTCAAGGCTTGTCAGGTGTTTGATATGGGCCCATTCTACAGCTCTACCTCCCAATGTATTGCAACCATTTATGTCAAGACTGGTCAAGAGATAGTTGCATTTCAGTGATGACAGGATTTTCTCAAGATCACCCTTCACTAAAGGACACCAGTAGAGCGTCAGATGCCTGAGGTTTTCCATGTAACCCAGGGCGAAGGCTAAACCACTGACAGAAGACACAGACTCAATCCGAATGGTTTCAATGCGTGACAGTTGTAGCACCTGGACTTCTGACCTACAGATTATTTTAAGAAGGTATATGAGAATGCGGACATCAGTATTGTTATTCACCACGATATCTGATGGGATGAGTGAGTCGCTGGTTAGACATTGTGGGATCTTTTTGGATTGGCTTTCAAAAAAACAGTGTTGACTAATTAATTGTATAACGTCTGATTGGTACATGGGCTTATGTCGATCCTTGTTGAATTTACGGTCAAGCAATCTAACAATGTCAGTCATGCACTTTTCATTGTCGCCACAACAAAAACGCAAAAGAAAATCATTTGAAACGACACCCTCAATTGTCTGACATAGTTGCCTTAAATTGTTTTGAAATTCTCCAAATGGAACAACTTTGTACACCGTACGCTTTACAAATCCCGGGTTTGACATATGTACACTTTGCAAGTATTTACCAGCACAGCATTCCTGAATAGTCTTGTGCATGAATTGTATGTTGTTGTGGCATTCGAGGTTTATGATAACTCTCTGCTGGGTTAGGATGCCCGCTTTCAGTGCCAGGTCCAGCGCATTTTGTTCAAACTCATCTTTTTGAAATGAGAGATTCTGGTTGGCACTTACGAATCCACTCAGTGCAGTTTTTCCTATAGTAATCACTGTTTTTGATGCATCTTCGGAGCTATATCCTTTTCTTGTGAACATGTAAACAACTGCCTCAGTGAAGAGGCGTGAAGTTGTTACGGGGAGTTGTTTTTTCTCCCTCCACAACAAACACATGAGAAGGAGAAGCATTGGATTCGTGGAGAAATCGAGCAGTGTGTTGGATTTTTCAATGTTTTGGATCAGTGCACTGCCACTATCAGGATCTTTGTAATAGAATTTCAGAATGTATTCATTAACATCTTCCTTGGTAAACCCCAGAACCTCTACGTGTGTGCAAGGATTTCGGACAAGTGATTTTGACATCAGTGTCTCAAGATGAGAGGGGCGGGTTGAGACAAAAATGCAACACTTCCTGTAATCTGTTCTATTGAGCGCTTTTAGGATAGAGCCGAATGAGGCTGCATCAAGTGTTTTGGTCCTCATTTCATCAAAACCATCCAAAAGTATCAAGACCTTATTTGAATTGTCCTGAATATATTGATCAAGTTCATCTTTGGCTACTCCTGACTTTACGCCTAAAAGTTGATCAAAAATGGAATCAACAAGATCAGATTCTTGGAACAGGGCATACATCTTTAAAAGAAAAAGAAGCTTGAATCTTTTCAGGATTTCACATGCCTCATTGGCCCAGTCATATGCAATCTTGTCAAAAATGGTTGACTTGCCGACACCCCCAATGCCAAATAAAATAGCACGATTGAACTCTGTCTCAGGCCAATCTTTCAATATGTTCTCATACTCTGTGGAATATACAGTCTCGTCAGAGTATTCTTCCTCTAAAGTACCTTTCTTTGTTCTAACCTGCAATTTAGTGTAAATGCCAACAATGGGTCTTTGATCGTCAGGAGCCCCAGGGTTCAACTGAACATAGCTACCCGTTGTCTTGTAACATGTCCTCAAAATACCCCTGGTCTTGTTACCGACTTTTTGGTTGAGATCCCCCACTCTTGGTTCCTGGTCTGGTTTCTGACTCTGCGGATGTACTCCTGTTGAGTTCAAACAATTAACAAGTACATGTTATAGTAAGCAGGAGGTCATGGGTTCGAGTCCCACCAAAGTTATTTTTTTCTCATAATCCCTGGAGACAACACTAAGTATATATTGGAATCCAGTGATCAGAATTAGAAGCTTTTACTGCGGTGGTGTCACGCTCACGCGCATGCTGCTCGCGTTCTTAAAGACGAGGCGCGCGCGCATTTTGGTATTCCAATTGGTCAAAGGAGCCCGAAGTGTGGGTATACATACCTGAGCGCCACTCGCGCGAGCCTTTTACGACACTGCAGTAAATGGCTGCCCCCAGATTTGTCTATACAGTGTTTATACAATACATGTATGTCGGTGGAGGGCAAAACCCAATATTGAATGTACATGTATTATTTCAGTTTAACATTGTTTCTGAAACGGATTGAATAGTCTTCCTCTACTGAGGCAAACATGTACAAGAAATGGTGACTTGGATTTACAGTTCGTTAGTAAGGCAGTGTAAAAAATAAATATGCCCCCCTCCCCAAACAATAATCAAATGAATATTTTGGATTTTGTACCATCTGTTGGACACAAACTTCTCAGATGTTGTTTAATAGTATTTACACATTGTTTTTTTACACTTACAACAATAAATTCAGACAAAAAAACTAGTAACTGTATTTGGAGGCCTCCAAAACTTGATTCCATTTTTCCCCACTTTCTTTTTTCCACATGTGATTCACACAATACGGGGTGCCATTTGGGGTATATACATTACGAGACTCCTAATGTGGTCACCATATCTTATTACAAACTGGTTTATATCGTACATGTAGCAACAAAAAAATGTAGACTCTTTCGTGGAATTGGCAATCCGTCTTTTGTGTCCATGTTTGTGTAATATATCATCTCCATCCCCCTCCCCCTCCCCTACAAAATATACAATAATATCTGACCCGAGATATCAAGTAGTGTAACAAACAAGATCATATTTACCTGCTCCATCTGACGACAAGTTGTAAATGACACTAACTTCACCTGAACCAGTGGCAGTAATGATAGGATTGTTTCTACCGCTGACTGTGCCCATGTTTCCGATGGCTCCAGTATGTTTTGGGGAATCTAAAATCAGAAGAATTCAAACATCCTTTAAAGGATACCGACAAAATGATTCATGTACTTTAGTACATCTCCAGTTGTCCGTTTTTGGAAGGTAGAGTAGATCATTTGTCATATTTGCATTTGTTTCTTTTGAAGCAAAAAAAGTCCTCTAAATCTAAAGACTGGTGCTTAACAACTAACCTGCTGAACTTTCAGCTCAGTGAATGCTGTATATTCCGAGAAAATCATTTTTCAGGATCTCGATTTAAAAACAAAGTTGCAGATTCTTGTTTTGAATTGATTGCAGCCGATTGCAACGACGCTATGTCACGCACTGACCAAACAAATAATAGCAACCACGCACGCATGTGCATCGTGTCAATGCTCACGCGCACCCATTCACAGATTCATCCAATTACAAACCAACTACTAATGGAAATTTCCAAAAATTGTTCAATTCCCAATCTTTGGTAATGACTTCTTTTAATGTCTTCTTTGTCCAATTACTATCTTTAAACCAAAGTAAGCTTTCAAAAATAATTTGGTCAGTTACTTTTTGGATAGCTGCGAATGATCTACTCTACCTTTAAAGAAGATACATGTATATAGAGAAATCTGATTGTCCAAAGTTGAAACCTGCAACTTCAAAAAAAATCTTGGGGTGTGTGTGAATGTGTGAGTTGAGTGGAGAGGGGGAGTTAATGTCCCTCCCTCCCTCATTGACCCCATGCAAATGGTCTAGCTACTATATGTACTCACCTGTTGCAGCTGAGGGGGTGGGTACCTGTGCCTCCTGTTGCATCGTGGCAGAGACATCAGTCTGGCAGGCTGCTTCAGATTGAGCAGCCATGGTACTTTGGATCACCCAGCCACAAATGGAAGTCCTGTTTGCCAATGATAAATGAAAAGCTGTAACACACTGGTCTTCATTCCAGCTTCAATCTCATTCTTTAGCATGAAAACTTGTAACTACAATGCCATTTATGTTTGGAATAAAGACTAGAGGGAAATTCCACGCGGAAGTGATCTTTAGAGCTACATGAATCACAAGCTCAAATGTGGTATGAAATTAAAGGAAACAACAAGACCTTTTATTTTAATGGTGTGCCAGTGAGTTGGAATTGGACAGTTGGAAACTGCACCAGAATAATTCACAGTTGACTATCAGTCAGTGAGATCAGTAAACTGCAACTGAAAAACTTCTTAACCCTAACAATCCCCGTCCAGTCAAATTCCTACAGCAGGATTTGTTGGAGTCTGTTGGAGTGAGTACTGCACTAGTAAATGCTTTACATGGGGTGTATAGTCATACCACCATAATCAGAGTCCGACAGTTTGGGTCCAGAGTTTGCCATATAGTGTTAGAATTTGCAAGAGTGAGGAAGGTTCCTAGTAAATCACTCAAGGGGTTTAGGGTTACACCTGACATTTAATACAATCCATGAAACCAAAATAAGAACCCCAAAGCAAAAAGAAATGAACCATTGTTCTGGCAAAACTTACAGTTGAGTTCGTAGCAGGTTGATTCAGAGACGTCCAAGCATTACAGCCCTGTACATGAAGCTGCCGCACCCAACAATCCCATGACCACCTGACGGAACTATATTATGCAAATTAATCCCTCAATAAACCTCCATATATGGCATTGACTCAAACTTTACAAAAGTTACAAGGTCATGATTCACAAGTGCTTTGAAATTCTGTCACATGCAAGCAGTTTGCATCCAATATGAAACAAGACATTGCACTATCCATATTTGTCCTAATATTAGTCTGGAGAATATCTTAATAAAAAATAAAGGCTATTTTTTTATCCTGGAAACCCTGCGCATCGATACAAATACATAACCCACATTTGTCCCAGCAGGCCTCCAAAAATTGTGTAGCCTACATTGGGTTTTCCCAATATTGTCAACAGCTAGCCTGGAGACAACAATGGAAAGTTTTGTGTGGTCTGCTGTCATGCAAAGATCTACAAAGTTGACGAGTCAATGGGTGACCTTTCTTTTCAAATGACGTGATTTCATGAGTTCACAAGTGCTATTTTTAGCTCAGCATCTATTCAATGCAACTAATTCACTTTTGAGGCTTTAGTCAACACGTAGGTGTATATTGACCTCAACAGCTTGGTATACAGCAAAAGCATATCTAGTGACATATTTGTAATACCCGCATTATGAGGAACTACACTCAACCAAAAAAGAAAGACCTCCCTAATATTTTGTTGTCTAACTCAAAAACTACTGCGCACATCTTGCTCAAATTACAACTAATCAGTACAGAAATTCCTTAGCAATCCAGCCATACTCTTCGTTTGGCCCAAAACAGTGATAATGTGTACAAAATTATGCAATTTATGACAAATGCTACCGAACAAACATTGCACTTTTGTATAGGTGCAAGGTGAGTGTGAACCACAACTTGCACGTATACAAAAGTACAACTGTTTTCGGTATCATTTGTCATAAATTGCATCATGTCGTACACATTATCACTGTTTTGAGCCTAAAAAAGAGTATGGCTGGATTGCTAAAGAATTTCTTTACTGATTGGTTGTTATTTGAGTGAGAGGTCAGTAGTTTTTGAGTTAGACCAAAAAGTATTGGAAGGGGGGGGGGACTTTCTTTTTTGGTTGAGTGTATGATACAATGCAATTTGAAAGTGCTTGAATAAGTATTTGCAAGTAGGCCTACATCCTAAAGCTGGCACTAATGTATTGCCCGATTCTATAGAAGCATCAGGCCTTTTCAATAGCCAATCCGACAGTCCAATTAAATTGTTACAAATATATTGAAAAAAAAACTTAGCTAAAGTTCATCTTCAACCTGTCACTTCCTGCACAAAACCCTGATGCTTTCACCAAGAAATCCAGCCGCAAATTAAAGACGGACAACAGTTTTAAAACTTAGATTTCAATTTCTCAAGTTGGAGAATCTGTAGCGGGACATTCCATGTCACTACATTGTCGTGTTGGGTTCACCATACATTGTATACTGAGAAATGCATTGTGGGTAAACTATTTATAGATTTGTCTCTTGTGCATGTGCCTTCGGCCATGTTGGCCATGCTTCGGTCTCGTCATGTAGATACTTGTAAATAAACCAATGAAGATGTAATCCAGAGTCTGCGATGAACAATTAATCCCTTTCCCCCTTCCATCCGAACCTGGTAATGATCTTCGGACCGTTACACTGGCGTAGTCGGCAGGATGGAGGGGGATATTTTGGATTGAAAATGTTCTGCTGATGTTCACAAATCATCGATCTGAGCTGTGCTGTGTGTAGCCTGTACAACGTGTACATTTTGTACTGTGATTGACTTTCGTCAGTTTCGTGTTCGTTCGACCCCGTTCGTTCGACATTCTGCGTGTTATTGCATGTTGGAACATGTCAGCATGTCTTCCATCATGTACATCGTCGTCGTTGCGTAACTGTAAATACTACCTGTGTATTTCTGCTGATCCCGATGTTTTTGAGTCAACCCCGATTGACTTTCGTATCGTCCGTCGTTAGGCCGTTAACCGCAGAGCTGATGGGAGGATTTCCTGATGATCTCCTTGGCCGTGCTTACCCAAGAGTACTGGCGTTAACCTGATGTTTGCGGGGGAGTACCCAGTCTCCCGAAGCCTTCCCGACTTCTGTCTGATCCACACCCCGTGGAGCAACCTGTCCCTCCGGACTGTCTGTCATCAGTTTGGCGATAACCCTTCGCCCAGGGGAGGAGCTGCCTCCTTGAGCATAGCTGCAGCAACCTTGGCCTCACCAAGTTTGGTCCGGGGAAGAGTGCTGATCTCTTCGTGCACAATTGCGTTAACCCTTCGCCCAGGGGAAGAGTGCTGATCTCTTCGAGCCAGCTGTTTGATCGTCATGATCGTCTGTCGTCAATCGTCGGACTGTTTTGCAAGTTCAAGTCTTCAAATTGATCGTCATGATCGTCTGCCGTCACTCGTCTGACTCAGTGACTGTTTTTGTTTTCACTAGTCTTCGGTTCAAGTGTGACTGTATACAAGTGTCAACTGTGAACTTTGAGTGACTGTCAATGTAAACTGTGACTGTATTGCCTATTGTTCTTGTTAACCATGTTAACTCAGAGCTGTAATGATTCACATGTCATTTGCTGATTGTACTAAAATTGTTTTGTGCCATTTTGAAGCATGTAAGGTGATTAAGTCTGCTACTCTACTTAACTATTTTAAGTTCAGGTAATTTATCTCGCTAGGTGAATTATTTTGTTTGATCATCTCGTGAAATTTGACACAAATTAGAGTTTTTTTAGAACTGGATTATCATTATCGTGAATATCGTTTCTCAACGTCAGTGAAGCACCCTGTTTTGATTGAGTCTATCTCGTCGGTTGGCAGTAAACCCGAGTGGAGGGGAGGAGTACCCAAAGTCTCCTTGTGCCTTACCAGGAGTATGGCGATAACCCAAAGCCGCGGGGGGAGTACCCAAAGTCTCCTGTAGCCTACTTTGCAGTGTCTGACCCAAGCTATGGAGTAACCTTCAGACTGACTGAAACTGTTAATTGATCTATCCTTGTCTTTGATCAGTCATCATGATTTGATCTGTATTTGCATAATTTCAAAATTTGCAAGTGTTTGCTGATTGCATAACTTTATCATTCTGATGATAATTTTACTGTGTATGCAAGTTGCTATTGTTAGCCAAGTAACGATTTACTATTGTTGAGGTTAAACCTGTTGTTTACAGCTGATTCCAAGTTTACTTGATTGAGCTAGTACGTATCCTAGACTGAGGAAACTGAATTTTGGAACACCTGTGACTGTGTGATTTAAGACTGCTAATTCTTTATTCATCCACCTTCTTTACTGTTAAGCCATAGCTAAGGAGGGGGGAGTGTAGCGGGACATTCCATGTCACTACATTGTCGTGTTGGGTTCACCATACATTGTATACTGAGAAATGCATTGTGGGTAAACTATTTATAGATTTGTCTCTTGTGCATGTGCCTTCGGCCATGTTGGCCATGCTTCGGTCTCGTCATGTAGATACTTGTA